CGTTCTCGTCGTGCTTTGTTTTGGTTTGGTGACGCCCCTCAGGCTTTGCACCTCCACCTTTCGGCGGTGCTGAGGGAAGGGCGTAGAGTCGTGGATCCCCGGAGCTGGGCATCGCTGTCCCCTAAAAGAAAAAACACAGAAACGCCGCTGGCACAAAGATCTGTGGGGCCTCCCCCACGCCCCCCCAGATTATCTATGATCCGAGGTTCCCCAGTTTCCTGGTCTGGAGAATCGTGACTGCTCCAAGTCAGGCTGAGCTAAGGTTTTTGGAGGAGTGCAGGTCGTGGATCCTCACTCCTGATCCCAAGAGGGATTTGCTGCAAGGGACCTGCTCAGTTTGGGTTTGGGGTTTTCTTTGGCTCTCCTCGTGAGCAGCAGCTGGAGGAAAAAGGGGATGTGGGGATGGATGGTCAGGGTGGGTCAAGGCATTTGTCAGCCCCAGGTGACTCGAGAGACTTGGGAATAACTCCAGGCCAGGCTAGCCAGGGGCAGGACTCGCCTGCCACCCCCAGCCTTGTGCCAGCAGAGCGAGGGAGGTGAGAAAGGGAAAAAAAGTCACTGAAAAGTTGACTCTGGGGATGAGAAATGAGGTTCTGGTGCAGTTCTGCAGTGTGGCTTTGGGCAGTGGTGGCCCCTCGTGTCTCTGCTCCACCCATCCTCAGATGGGCCAGCAGGACCCACAGTTCCCTGGTCCTGTCACTGGGACCACACACTCTGCCACCCCACAGCAGGCAGGGGGGAGCTTCTGGCTGAGAGAGCTTTGTAAGCCTTCAGCACTTCTGTCACCCTCTGAAAAGTGCCCAAACTGTGGTTTGGTTTTGTTTTGTTTTTTTTTTTTAATAGCAGCTACAAAAATCATGATCTCAGTTTGGAGTTTTTTGGCTGTTTTCTGTCATGTGGCTCATTTCTTGTTTCCAAAGCATTGCTTCATACCCAACAATTATTTGCTATTTTATCTACTTGTAAAGGTCTGTGAAGAGACTGGAGGGTTTTTAGGGTTTATTTCAGTGGGTGTTTTCTTATTTTAAAGCCCAAGCATACTAATTTCTTTCTCTGGCATGCAGAGAACAGCAGTATATTGAAAGGTTGAGGCTTTCCATTAAAGAAAGACTGATCCTTCTTCACTGCTGAGTTTCTTAAAATATTTAACAGTTTTCAGTATGTTGTATTAAAATCCAATTGTGAAGTAAAGCTAGTTGATTTGTAGTTTGCCTTTCAGTGTTAACATGCACTTGACTATATCCATGGAATCATAGAATCCTAGAATAGTTTGGGTGGGAAAGGACCTGTCAAGGCCATTGAAGGGGCCTTTAAATGTCATCTAGTCCAACCCCCCTGCAGGGAGCAGGGACATCTGCAGCTAGAGCAGGGTGCTCAGAGCTCCATCCAACCTCACCTGGGATGGTGCCAGGGGGGGGGCAGCCACCACCC